ATAATAAAAAAATATAAAAACTAAAAGATAAAATCCTGAAAAGTGTTGTCAAACATGTATCTATATATGTTTTATGAGTAACTCCAGTATATTAATGTTTTGCTTTTAGGGATGAAGCGCTGGAATACATGAAAGGGTCGGAAATGGTCGTCAATCGGTTGCTACAGATTCTGATGAAGAGACTCAATGTCAACGAAATCGACGAAACAAAAAAATCTCTCCTGAAGGGTTCAGTGAGAATCAACCTGAACTATTACCCTGTTTGTCCCAACCAGAACTTACAAACGGAATCGGACGTCACTCTGATGTCTCAACCCTCACAATCCTCCTTCAAGACGAAATTGGCGGGCTCTACGTTAAAAACCCTCATGGCAACGACAGTTGGATTCATGTCCCTCCAATTGAGGGCTCCCTCGTGATCAATGTAGGAGATGCATTGCAGATATTGAGCAACGGTCGATACAAGAGTGTCGAACACCGTGTGGTCGCTAATAGGAGCAAGAACAGGATTTCCGTTCCCATTTTCGTCAATCCAAGGCCGTCCGATGTAATCGGACCCTTGCCAGAGGTGCTTGCAGACGCCGAGAAACCGATTTACAAGCAAGTCCTGTACTCGGATTACGTTCGACATTTCTTCAAGAAGGCACATATAACGGAAATGGCACAGTTGAATTTGCAAAGATCATGTGAACTAGCTACTTATTTAATTTCTTTGAAGTTGTCTAAGTTGTGCTTAATTTAATTGCATAATGAGGTTCTAAAACCAACTAATTAATCAAACTGCTTGTTATTGACTAGTGATTACAAAAAAAGGCCCTTGATCAGTTGACCAGAAGATCCATCTAGGACATGTAAGAGGGACATCATTAATTTGTTCTGCTTTGTGTTGATTATGTTCGGATTGTACCACCCTAATTATAAAGTTTGCATTGCTCTAACTAAGAATCATATCAATTCAACATCTACAAAAAAAGTTATGATCAGAAAACTAACACAAGTTTAAGTTGTCACTTCCAATCACTCTCACGGACTGAATTTTGCAGCTAAGTTTTCAATTTGATAATGGTTGAATTGGGTTAAACATTTAACAAACAGATTGTAAGCCTGTCCCTTAGCCTTCTAGAGAATCAAGAATCTTCAATATCTATAAAGAAAGTTATATAAAAAACCACTGTAAAGTCATGCTGTCAGAAATTTTGAAACACAAATTTTCAATTTTCCAGTTTGATTATAACCCAAAATGGTAGGTAAAAGAGAACTAAATGCACCTGAATTTTATCCTACAAACAGCTATATTGACACAACTATGACAGACCCCTAAAATTTTGCAATGTTTCCCAAAATTTTGAAACAGAATCGTACCTCAGTTAGCCACAAAAACAGCAAGAAGAATCACACTGCCGGGACAGCAACAAGAGGCACTCAAAATGTGCTGCACTGTACACGACTTAACCCAGAAAATTTAAGGGCAAAATCAAGCCTACCAATCTGTAGAAAGATCCGTTCATGCCTTAGGAATATTGGTTACGTGTAGGTTGTCAACACAACACAGTTTTTAGTAGTTTAGATCTGTGGCTCTTACCTTAAAATTTCAAGACTAAATTCATGAATCTATGGACGGAATCAAAGCATGAATTTGAGTGGTTAAACACAAGAACTTTCTTCAAAATTCTAAGTAGGATTAGAGGAAGGGAAGAGACTAGGATGGTTGTCGTACTTGAATTCAATGGGAGAAGAGGAAGCCTCAAGAAAGTTTGGGATTTTATAAAATTCAAAACATTAGTGTCTCTTATCATTTGAATTAGATAGAATTCAAAATGAACTTAAAGATAAGATAAAAGAAAATTGAAGTTACAAACTTTAGTTTGAAAATCACTTACCGATCTCTTTGGAAGGAATTTTTTTTTTTTTTTTACCAATGGAAGCAATATTATTATTAAATAAAAAATAATTTTCTTATACATTTTTAGTACTATGTTTTGTACCCCTTGCATTCTATATAATGAATTATATTTATTTGTTGATAAAAAAAAATTAATGCTGCGTTTCTCGGCCAGCCAATATATATATTTATATATATAGTGAGCCAATCTAGCAAAGGTCAGTACCTGTTGTTCTTTTTTTTTCTTTTTCTTTTTTATTTGTGAAAATTATGAACAACTCTCTCTCTCTCTCTCTCTCTCTCTCTCTCTCTCTCTCTCTCTCAACAAAGACATAAACAACTCTCTTATTTATAGGTTACTTGAGATATGGTTCAAATGCATATAAACTTTGAAATTTAGTACCCAATGCCTAAGTATGATAATAATTTATGACTACATGGTAAAACTTCATTTTTTTGTTTATCATTTAAGGCATGGGGCCATTGAAATCTGTGCTTAGTTAAGGCCTATTGTTGACATTTAAGAAAATTCATTATTTAGTTGTATTTCATAATATAGTTTGGTTTCATGTGCCTTATGGTGGCAATATTTATTACTACCAAATATATTATTTAATAACCTCATAAATTAATGAAAAAAGTACATTTTGTAATAATTTTATTCATATCTAAAACTAATATTTTGTAATAATATTTTTTATTTTCAAATATATTATTTAACAATACCATAAGTTATTGTAAAAGTTGCATCTTGTAACAACCTTCAAACATTTGTAAACCTAATATCATTTCTAGTAATGATTAGTCATTGCCATAACCGTTAAAAAGTGATATAAAATAATTGGAATGGAGTAGTTACAATATCATCTTTTATCACCAATATTTGTTGTTAAATATATTATATAACAATATTATAAATTGTTGTAAAAATTTACACTTTATAACAACCTTAAATCATTTTTAAAACTAATATTTTACGGTAATAATGATCATTGCTAAAAGGTAAAAAATGATTTTAGTGGTTATTAAAATGAATGTTTGCAACCATAAAAGTATTAGTAAAAAATATAATCTTGCAATGTGATTAGTAATTTATGAAGATAAATGAACTATAGCTATGGTTTTTGAAAATTTATAGGTATAGGGGATTGCTATACCTATAAGTGATCTAGACTATAGGTAAAAGTTTTATTTTTATATCTACACTAAGTCATTTTCATAGGTAATGTCATCTTATTCCTACAGTTTTATAAACTACATAGGCATATTTAGATCATATACATACAAATTAGTAAATTGTAAGTATAATTGTTAAAAGTGATATAAAATAATTGAAATGGACTAGTTACCATATCATCTTTTATCACCAATATTTGTTGTTAAATATATTATATAACAATATTATAAATTGTTGTAAAAATTTATACTTTATAACAACCTTAAATCATTTTTAAAACTAATATTTTATAGTAATAATGATCATTGCCAAAAGGGTATAGAATAATTTTAGTGGTTATTAAAATGAATGTTTGCAACCATAAAAGTATTAGTAAAAAATATAATCTTGCAATATGATTAGTAGTTTATGAAGTTAAATGAACTATAGTTATGGTTTTTGAAAATTTATAGGTATATACCTATAATTGATCTAAACCATAGGTAAAAATTTTACTTTTATATCTACACTAAGTCATTTTCATAGGTAATATTATCCTATTCCTACAGTTTTATAAAAAATATATATATATTTAGATCATATATATATATATATAAATTAGTAAATTATAGGTATAGACACTTACAAAATTATTAACGTATGTAAAAAAATAATATAGATATATAACAAATGAGACGTAGTGTAATGGCTTTGATCCTATCTCTCTTTCATGAGATATGTGTTTGAATCTTATGAAATACCATTTTTTTTAATTTCATTTAATTAAATAATATGTACTAATTTCAGTTTCGTTTAAAAAAAAAAAAAGAAATGAGTGGAGTAGTATTTTGAGACAAGAACAAGAAAGAAAAAAAAATATTTTCATCTTAAAAATTTTTAAAAACACTTATTTGATCACAGGATCATAAAGTCAAAACTCTAAATAAAAAAGAAAAGAAAAGAAAAGAAAAAACTAATATTTATATGAAGGATCAATACGAGGCTTCAATGCATCCCCTAAAAATAGCATGCAGTAAGCAGTACGCATGGAACTCTGAAGTCTGAACCACTTTTTGTACGTTTTCCTCCGATTAATGGTCCACAAAAGGTGACGGAGTTGGTGAAATGAATTAATATGACTTAATAAATGTATCCTATAAGAAAGAAAATAGGAGATTAAAATATTTTGATATTTTAAATATTAAAATTTTTATAAAAATATTTAAATATTTTAATAAAAAAATTTTATATATTAATCTATTAAAAATATTTTAATTTTTATTATTAATCTTAATATTTGAATTATATATCAAGATATTTTAATTTTTCTGTCTTTTTGTATAAATATTTTTGTTAAAAAAAAGTAATGATGTAAAACAAAGAGAGAAAATTAAATCATTTTTTAATTCTCCAGTTTTCGTTATAGCTAGCTGCCCGTATTGTTTGCAAAATGCACCAGTACCCTGTCTTCTGTTATTCCGCTCAAGCTCTCTCTTGTACTTAACAAATTAGCAAGAAACAATGGCTCCTTCAGCTGTATTCCCAACCACAGATTCTGTGGCTCTCACTGATTTTGTGATAAACAAAGGGAATGGAGTGAGGGGTCTCTCAGAATTAGGACTCAAAGCGCTCCCCAAACATTATGTCCAACCAGTGGGAGAAGAATTGACACCAGCAAAATCGTAACCAACGAATCCATACCCATTTTTGACATGTCCAACTGGGAAGATCCCAACGTTGCAGATTCAATCTGTCTAGCTGCAGAGAAATGGGGTTTCTTTCAAATTGTTAACCATGGGGTCCGTGTTGAAGTTTTGGACCATGTTATGGACGCTACCCATCGTTTCTTTGGACTTCCAGCTGATGAGAAGAATAAGTATTCCAAAGACCATTCTCCTTCTAACAGTGTGAGGTTTGGCACAAGCTTTAGCCCTCAAGCTGAGAAGGCTTTGGAATGGAAAGATTACCTTAGCCTTTTCTGTGTCTGAAGAGGAGGCTACTGCTCTCTGGCCTCCTGCTTGCAGGTACAATATTATTACCTCTACAAGCACTATAAATTAGTATCAAAATCTTCATAGATGTTTTTCTTTATACATCTAATGATGAGTTTTACGACAAATAGGGACATATAGCAACTTTTCTCTCTCAAATTTTTACCACCATGTTTTAATACTAAATTAGAGTTTTAAAGTTTTTACTAATTAAGACAATTTTCGGCAAAATTTTTGCAAAGGGCTAATTAATATATTGTGTAACATTTTGTTCCTAGGGATGAAGTGCTGGAATTCATGA